CGTAAATTAAAATTCAGTTATTCTAGAAAATCCAAGTGAGAATTTTTTAAAAAGGCACTATTATTCATTTTAAAGTGTTTAATCACAGATGAGACAAAAAGTTAACGGTAGGAGAGGCTGGGGGAAGGGTGCACAGGTGTTCACTTGACCCTTCTTGCCCCTTTTCTGTAAGTTTAAAATTATTTCCAAATAAAAAGTTATTAAGTGTTTAATCAAAATATATCATTCTGTCCTTAAAAAAAAAAAGGAAAGGAAAAATAAACTTCAGATCAGAAAATCCTCCACTGATTCAAGAAAGAAGCACCCCCCGTGCACCCAAAGCCCGGCTCCCTCGTGACTGTTACCGTTAAGGTGGAGACCACGCAGACACAGACAGAAGGACTTTGGGGACGAGCTTCAGCATCTTGTAAGACTTTAAAAAAATTTTTTTATTAAATACCAAATAGAAGTTTGAGGTAATGTGAACAATGCCCTGCAGCACAATTCATTTGTATTACACTTAAAATCTTAATGAATACTGCATATCCAAGCCATTAATATCAAAGTGGTCTGTGAGCCTGTTTCAGAATGCTCTATTGCCTCGTGAAGGAAGATCACCAAGCAAGCATTCTCTGACACATTTATAATGACTGGCATTGTTCCTCAAGGAAAGTGAAAAACATTCTAGCTTCTTTACTTGCAGATCTCTTTGAATGGCCCTTCTTTCATCTAAGCAACCTGTCATTCCAATTTTGAAAGCAGGCAAATAAGATGGTAGTCTACCGTCTCTGAGGCTTTTGTTGAGAGTGTAATTCTAGTATTTCAATGCAGGTGTTCTGAAGTTATTTTAAAAAAACAGCAATCTTCACTTCCAAATCATTATTCCTTTGCAAGTAAAAGCTTATCATCCTTGGTCTCATTTTTTGAGCTAGGCCTCTTAATCAGGCTAGACAGGACTTCCTCGTGCTCTTGTGAAATGCCTTCACAATGAGAATACATTAATTAAATCAAGAAGCTCCTTTCCACTTACCTTCAGGAATTGCTCTAAATATCAAGAGTGATTCATTGATCTGCCTAGAAATTTTATAAGCATTCTCTTGAAATCTGTTTGCTGTATTCTCTTGTGCATTTAGCAAGCTCCAAATCTGCATGATGCAGATTTTCATAACTGGAAGGAAGAGCACTGACGTACTGGTCATTGTGGAGTCACGTAGAAGTTCGTTTGTCTCTCGTAATGTGGCATTAACTCTGGACAGGCCAGTTGACGTACTCAGCAGCTTCTGGCTCAGTCACACCACGTCCTTCAGTGTGTTCACTGCACTCCTGTTTGCAGATGTGGCCAGCTCTTTGATTTTGGCTCCCTTGTCTGTCACACCTAAAATATATGTGTATACAAGCATGCACCCTGGTGTTACCCACAGAGAAAAGTATAAAACTCCAACAAATGTAATTTTACACAGAAACATGTTACAGTGATTTCACTGATTGTTTGAACATAAAATGGGGCTTCTCATTTTTAATGGCAATATTAAGGATCCATATCATATGCTCCACTGCCCCCTTGCAGAGACAAATGAAATAATTGGGGTAACAATTCCCTGGAATATGATTTCAGTACACAGTGAGATCCCCAGAGCCACTGCTAATCACCATGTCCTCAGCATCTTATGTATTAATAAACTAAACTTCTTTATTTGGGCCCTTTTCTATCACCCCCTCCTCATCATCACTAAACACATTTTCCTCATGGTTTCATGTCTGGACTAGAAGATTTTGGAACTTAAGTCTGCAGTAGAGAAGCAAGTGTCCCAGGCTAGAGGAAGTGGTGTTTACTCATGGGATCAACTGGCTGCTAGAAATAACAGTAGACTAAAGACTAAAAAGTCACTCAAGG